ATACCATTGAAGCTGAAGCTACTATTTTAAATTGAAAATTTAAAGGAGTTGATGTACTGTTGTCACGCATCCCAATGATGCCATTTGAATTCAAACGTCTGCATTTTACGGTGCGACACGCGTTTGCAATGACTATCTACAGAGCACAGGGACAATCGCTACAAATTTGCGGACTAAATTTGTAAAACCCATGCTTCTCCCATGGACAGATGTATGTGGCCTGCTCTCACGTCGGAAAACCTTTTGATTTATTCGTGTATGTACCAGACGGAAAAAATGAAGAACTTTATGTATTTAAAAGCTCTTAAAGAGACATAATTAAAATGCAAACACTTTCTTTCTTTGAGAGGCATTGCAACGCATGCCGGGTTCTTGCTAGTTGGATATAAAACAATAGTTTGCACTTCAATTTATCATTTGTATTTCATTTTAAGGTAGCCTTTAAAAATTCAAAGCGAAAAAAAAAAATTAGTTACTTGCCAACCTGTTCATAAAAAGTTTGGTGAAGTGGTGCTGAAAATAAAGTTGTTTTGAAAAGAATTATTAAATGCTCAAATTGATTCAACAGTGACATGCCAATCTTAATCCTGTTCTGTAAAAGGTATATTTGTTTTAATGACAAAATGTTTACTCTTAGTCACACACAAAAAAAAAGAAACACAAAGAGTCGTTTTTCTACAAAATTGATTGGAAAAAAAAATCCTTCATTATGGCTAGTGACAGAACAACTGTGCACAGTTATATACTGTGGACAATAATCATTAGATTTACTAAAGGAATGAGATGTCGTGTCCAAATTTCTTGAGAGAGGTAGGATTTAGTGCTTTAATTAAACAACGTTAAAATAAATTGTCTTGTTAATCAAGTATAAATTTCTATTTTCATTTTGATTACTATGAAAATGTATTAAATTATCTTGAAAATGTTCATTAAAATCAATAGGAAATACTTTTTAAAAAAATAAAAATTTCTTTACTGCTATACATAAATTTAAAAACACAATTGGATAATTTCTGATGTTAATTATATGAATTATTTTTTTTCTTTTGCTGAAGCTATTTAATTATTTTTTTTTATATTTCACAGTATATTGTCTCTAAAAACTAAAGTAAACAACAAATACTTTATTGTTAAACAGAATTTATCCACATATGAAACTGTTCATACTCATAGTTATATCCGTTTAAACAATATTCTTCTCTAAAATGATTGATTTCATTAAAAGTGAATACATTTTGTTGTAAATCGTAATTAACCATTTTGCCCAGATTGAAAATTAAAAAAAAAATGATTTTGTAGGATCACAATCATAAGCCAGTCGCAGTTCACTGAAAAACCAGTCGATAATTCTTTAGAAATAACCATAGTAGACGTTAAAAACAGTCGATATGCGTTACAGCAGTGGTCCTTAAATGACGGTCCGTGAACCCTCACTGGTCCGCATGCCTAACGCTTACGGTTCCAAAAACATAAATATGTATAATCAAATATAAATAAAAGTATAAAAATAAATTATGCACCGCTCCCTGCTAATGTTTCGAAACTTGTTCACTGGTCCGACAAACTTAAAAGTTTGGGAACCACTGTTGTAGAGGTTTCTAAAGTGCATTGAACGCATGCCTGTTGTTTGTGTTAGCCACATATCATTTTATTTTATGATTTAGGAAATTGATTTGGCCATTTCACTTTGAAATATTGCAATATTCAGACTAGGCTAAGTTAAATGGTAGTTTCTATGAATAATTCGCATCCGCACACAACTAACAAGTGTGATGCATTTCCGTAAAAGGCTACTGTAAGTGTAATGAGTAATGTTTTAGCCGGCAAACAAAGATCAAAAGGAGGTAACTGGTTGATTAAAATACGTGATTTGTGGTGGTGTCAAGGGAAAGCCTCATACACCAGTTCGCAAGAGTAAAAATTGAGACAAAGAGTGTTCTGTTATTGATTATTTCCCTATAATACACAATTAACTCACAGTTATTATTAGAATTAAAAACACAAGTTATCCAATTTAGTTCCGAACGTCTCGCTAAAAACATAGCCATAAACTACGTATTAAAAAGGTTACTGGACCACACAGTTTTTTCTTGCACCTTGACTCTTTCTTCCCGCTCCCACAATCTATCAAACGCGCGTAACTTTCGTTCACACAAGTACCTACTTCAGCAACTCTTTCACATTCACGCGGGCCTACCTTCATACATTAAATAACTATCGTCAGGGATACTCATTGCGTCAGGAGTTTATTAGTATGAAATGTCCAGTTTCACTCGGTAAATCATAAAAAAATGTAATCACTTTGTCAAATTTTTTATTTATTTTGTACCATTGATTGCTTCAAAAGACACTTTTTTTTTTTTTTTTGGTTTCTGCTTTTATAGCATTTTTATGTTATTTTATAGTTGTTTTCTTGCATTAAAACTTTGATTAAATTTTTCTTTTGACTTTATACACTCGGTAAATCATAAAAAAATGTAATCACTTTGTCAAATTTTTTATTTATTTTGTACCATTGATTGCTTCAAAAGACACTTTTTTTTTTTTTGGTTTCTGCTTTTATAGCAATTTTATGTTATTTTATAGATGTTTTCTTGCATTAAAACTTTGATTAAATTTTTCTTTTGACTTTATATCGGTGCACCGTGTCTATAAGAACACAGTTTGCTGCATTTCATGTTTGTTTTTTAATACATGTTTTGGGAAAGCTTGATAAAAAATTGCATCGTTTATGTTAAACAAAGAATGTAATTGGGCCTGTCTTGGTTTGGTATATTATAATGGTGAAACACAGGCTGCAAGCTTCGCTTTTACAAATAAAAGCTGTGTCCGCCATCATGATTTTATTCTAGGGGTCATTTTCTAATTTAAAAAAAAAAACATCGTATCATGCCTCACAATGATGCCAAGTTTATAATAGAATAATTTTAATATTGGGTAGGCTAAAAACTATGTTGTAGAAAATACAGAGATGAAAAGCATTTCCATTTCTATTGGATCGTGTGAAGTTGTCCATTGGCTTAATTAATCATAAATTTGACTTAAATTTTAATCGATATATTGTATTTACATGTGGTTCATTGGGGTTGTAAAACTTAAAAAAAAAGCTTAATAAGCAGTGTTATCTTGGAAATTAAGCATTGATACATATTTACATCAATGGAATTACTTTTTTGTATCATGTCAGAAAACAATGTATTGCCGTTCATTGTATATATGTACCAGAGGAAGGTCCAAAAAAACATTTAACATATTTACTTCAAATGATTAAAGACATTTTTACCGGAAAAGTTTCGCCAAAATTTCTAATCGATCCACACTTTTGTATCTATAAAATGAGGTGTTACATTTATAAGTAAGTTTAGGTTACAGATAAATTGTGTGATGAACATGTCTGGTGTGCCTTGCTTCGGACATGTGCAATTTTATCTTGGGTATGCTATTGCATGTGTTTAAAGCCTTATGGGAAAGGTGGAGAAAGGACGACAAGGCGTTCGATATTCAGTAAGGGCACTGCACATCCCAAAACATAATCATGAGCTCAAATTTTTTTCTTGTGCTTTGTATCTGATGTTATAACAGAAATATCAAACACATGTCCCCAAAAGAAGGGGAAAAAAATGAGTTTTGCGTTTAATAAAATGCTTTTATAATTCTTTTATCAAGAGTTTTTTTAAGTAGGCCTTTTGTTGGTGAAGAATGTTTTTTCGCGTAGGACGTCCCTAAACAAAATAAAAACGAAAATACTGACAAAAATTTAATACATCTTAAATAAATCGATGTGGATATTTTTCAATCACATTCTTTTCAGCTTTTTTTTCTCACTAAAATCAATTATATGTTGTCAATCGTTTGCGCGTTTGAATTATTTGATGTGATTTTTTCAAAAATCCAAAGTTCTTTAAAGTTAAAGAATAAAAGGTCTATGTTGTAGAGAGATCTTCTGCCGTCTATATTCGCTAATTACTATGTGTGGATGGTAACCTCGTTCACTCTTGACTGCATAATCAGGTAATAACACATTGCTGGTTAGACTTCACTTATTGATCTGTTATGCTGTTCACATTCAAGACCTTCACTCTGCTCTGACGTTGTGTTTGTCTCTAAATCGTAACTGTCTTCTCACGTCTGGCCTCGTTTCCATTTCTGTCAGGCTTTGCTCTCGACCGTTCTCTCTCACTGCTACATCTCAACTGGGCTCTGATTGTCCTCAAAACTTTAGCTAATATCCAGACCTCAAAATACGAGAAACCACCCACCACAAGAATCCCACGGTTATTTGCTTGCTACATTAATAGAGACTACATTCTCCCAGACCAGATCCATTACCACGGAAACCTATTCAATGTCTCTACCCAGGGTCTGCATGGACATTCCTCAATTGACAGCAGACTACAAAAAGTCATTACTCTAACTTATTGGAGATACCCACTGTCCTTTAGCGATGTAAACTTTTGTCGGCTTGGCTCCCGGGCTTTGCCTTACCCATCTATTAATGCCCAAGTCGACCATTGCCTCCCTATTGTATTGTCTACCGCTACCTGAAACCAGGCTGGTCAGCCCTCGCCATCGCACTGTGGGTTCCCCCACCACCCGTGCACCATCCAGGCTGAACCTTCTACACTATTTTGCTTTTCGATAAACTTTAGAACATTCTTGCATTTTGTTTTTCTTCGTTCCCTCAAATAAAGCTGACACAAATAGTATTATTCTTAATATAAAATGTTCCTGCTTTATGCTAAAATGTGCATGTTTTTCTCTGTCACAGTTGATGATGTAATAGTGAACAAAGCAAATCTTAACTTGCTGATAATTGATTGCAAGTTGTTTTTATTTTAATTATCTTTTTTTAGGCGTAATTGTATTTCATGTTTTCTTCTAAAAGTAAAAGAAGAAAAATAAGCAATCAAACAAACAAACATTAAAAATACTTTCATTTTAAATCGTTTGTGTTTAAAAAAAACGTAATAAACTATTGTTTAAATTTTTTTTTATTTTAGATGTCGAAAGAAAAGTATACATTTTTGCTTACTGGAAAAATCGGAGTTGGAAAGAGTGCCCTTGGAAATTCTATTCTTGGAGAGAAAAAATTTGTTAGCAATGATTCAGATCAATCGGTTACTGAAGAATGTTCAATAGAATGCGCAAACAGATCAGGCTTACTTGTAACAGTGGTAGACACACCTGGATTAATGGATACAGAAGTAACTGCAGATGAAGCTAAACTAAAAGCTTGCAAAGAAATAAAACATGCAATGACAAAATGTCCACCTGATGGAAAACTTGCTGTTATTTTTGTAATTAAATACGGTGAACGTTTCACCGAAGAGGACCGGAAAGCTCTGTATATTCTCGAAAATATTTTTGGAAAAGAAAATCTTTGGAAATCGTGCATCTTAGTAATGACTATGGGTGAAGTGTTTGATGGTAATTATGAAGGCAAAACAAGTTTTAAACAATATATGACAAATCAACAAAATGCTCTTGGGGAATTATTTAAAAAATTTAACTATAAATGTGTACTGTTTTACAACAAGACAAAAGATGAAACAAAACAGATTGAACAGTTTAACACGCTGATTCAATATATGCAAGAACTTGACCAAGGATATACTAAAAGTAAATTTCAAGAAGCCATAAAAGAGCAAAATCGCCTTGAACTGGAGTCGAAGCTGTATTACTATGAACAAGAATTTCAAGAGGAAATTGATCAACTAAAAGACAAACTAGATGCACTTAATTTAACGTCTGAATCATTAGATGACATTACAGAAATTCAAGACTACATTCTTCAAATGTTAAACATAGTTGATGATTATGATAAACCAGACAAAATTTATTACAAATCAGGTGAAACAAGGCTTTTGGATAAAATACGTAAATCTTTTGAACATCTGAACCAGACAACTTTTAAAAGTAAAGAACTAGTTGAGCAGCTTAAAATAAAAGATGAACTAGAAGTTACAATTAATGAAATTTTGGAGAACATAAAAAAAACCAATACACAAGATAAAGACATAAATGAAATTATCGTGGAATTTGAAAATGAACTTACAACAATTGGAAATATTAAAGTAAAAGGAACTTTAAGCATTGGAAATTCCGATTATGTATTTTTTAAATTACAGCACTGTAAACAAGAGTTTGAACTACTTAAAACTAAAGTTCAACTACAGAATGAAAAAGAAATTAATTTTAAAATTCAAGACTTTACTCAAAGATTAAACGAAACCGAACTTGAAGATATACAAAACCATGAATTATTTTTAGAGATAAAAAATGAGTTTAAAAGCTTTAAAAGTAATTTTGAACAACACAAGATTGGCTTTAGGGAAGACTTTTTTGAAACAGTAGAAGTATTTTTAAATAAAATTGAAAAGGATATCACAGAGAAAGAGAATACAATGATGCAGTGGTCCAAAGCAGATAAAATGGAAAAAGACATAATTAAAATTAAAAGCCAGATAAAAAGCACAAACACAGATGTCATTGATGTAGATATTAAATTGTATTGCGTCAAGGCAAGCCTAAATGAGATGGTTGTAAAGTTACAGAAAGCGAATTTAAGAAAACACATTCATGAAAAAATATATAATTTAATAATCATAGAATTGCAAGAACTTAAAATTCTGAAATATAAAGTAAAACAGAGAAAAGAAAAAGAATTATATAAATGTATTAATGAACTTTCTGAAAGATTAAAGAGATTGGAGATAATGTCTCTGAAAGTCTAGAAAAAATAGAAAATGAACTTTTGTTTCTAATGATCATAATTGAAAATAAAAGTGATGCAATAAATGAATAATTTTTTGAAAGTATAAGGAGTCATTTGCTTGTAATTAAATGTATTATTGATGATAAAAATGAAGCCTTTCAACAATACATGAAATCAAGGATATTATAGAGAAGTTAAAAAGAGATAAGTGATACTAGTTTAACTGATCAAACGATCACTAGCAAGATTGTTGAATTTAAAAAGAAATCTAATCTGTGAGGATAACATAAAAAATTCAAAATTAGGACACGAATATACATCTAGTCTTGATGAAGAGATAACAAATGTCAGAGATATAATGAAAAATGTTTAAAAATCTGTAACTGAAAACAAAGATATTGAACTAAATTGTCCAATAGAAAATATAATTATAAAAAAAAAAAAAAAAAAAAAAAAAACCAAAATTTAAAAAAAAAAAAAAAAAAAAAAAAAAATTAAAAAAAAAAAAAAAAAAAAAAAGTAGAAGAAGAACTTTTTTTTTTTTTTTTTTTTAAAAAAAAAAAAAAAACCAAAATTAAAAAAAAATTTAAAAAAAAAAATTAATTAAAAAAAAAAAAAAATAAATAAAGTTAAAAAAAAAAAAAAAAAAAAAAAAAAAAATGAGCTTAATACATATCGCTATGGTATGGTAATTTATAAAGCTAAGGACGACATTGGGAAATTAAATGATACTGCCAAATACTTCGTTAAAGCTAATGAACTGCAATACAAAACTAATGATCTAACTCAAAAATCGAAGACTTTGAAAAAAAAAAGATTGCAGGTTAAGCATTACGATTTCAGAAAATGACAAACAAAAATTAATGGATTGCAGCAAGAAGTAATTGATCAACATTTTATGAATCCTATTACAGATATGCTAAATTCAGGAATATAAAAGCATAGGTAAAGAAATAAAGAAATTTAATAACAAGTAAAAGACACACAAAAATCAACAAAAAAAAAAAAACAACAAGTTAAAAACAAGATTAAATGTTTCCAAGATAAAATAAGTGAAAGAATTGTCCCAGCCACGTAAACACTCATCGCGATGAGTGGATGAACAAAACGACAGGTACAACAGCTCGTCGATTTCAGTATTTGAAAAAAACAACAAAAAAAAACCACCTCCTCTTGAATATTTTCAAACACATAAACCCAAAGAGGCTACAAATAGCAATATATATAAATAAAATATGCCATGGATAACATAAGAAAAATATGTTACATGAAAAGAGCCCCATATGCATCATTTTAATTATCACATTCACTTAAATCTTTTTTTTTAAATTATTGCGTTATTTTTAAATTTTTAAATCTAACTTTCAACTGTTATTATTTTTAACTACTAACTATATGATTTTAAACAAAATGCTTAAGACAAATGCTGGAAATAAATTTAATTTAAATTATTGATATTTTTTCCAAATAGAAATGTAGAGATAAAACTCATTATGGAATATTGTGAATTTGAACTTTTGGATGAACGTCTTTTTAAGTCTTTGAAAAGATATGTTTACAGAAATCGCAAATAAATCCTGCAAAATGCTTGCTGACGCTAAAAACGGCCCGTTGTATGAACAAGCGATAAAAGTCATAAAAAAAAAAAAATCAAGTAAAGAAACACATTTTTCAATATCATTATGTAAAGTAAAATATGTTTGGTCCCATTATATACAGAAACGTAAATTGGTTACGAAAGACAAAAACATGTACATAATTTTTTCAGATCCAAAAAATGGGCATTGTTTTAATATTTGTTTTATTTAGACATAAATAGTACTGAGATTTTTTTTTTAAAAATACCTTTTAGATCATACAGGTGGGACGCAATTAGTTAGCAAAATAAAATATTTGACACATAATATATCTTGGAAAAAATATATAAAAATAAGAATAAAACTTCCATATAAATATTTTAAAAAATTTGGAAACGTGTTTTAAAATGTTAAACAAAACTAAAAAATTTAATAGAATTCAACCAAAAAAAAGATAAACAAATTAGTATTTATGTATATACCTATAATTTTTTATATTTTTAGCCATTTTTAAAGATGATTTGTAGATGTTTAATTATGCAGAGATTCGGCAACATTTTTAATTAATGTTTAATAAATTAGGTCACTAGAAAATAGAAACTCTACAAAATAATTTTAAGTAAAGTTTATCATTATACTTTTCATGCTCTAGTTCATAAAGTAATTTAATTACACATTTTAAAGTTTGACTTTTTGTTTTTACTTGTACATTAATAAAAGTATGATTATCTACTCTATATAGTCACTACTTTATAAAAAGCTATCATATGGATATTAAAGCACAGAACTAGTATTAACATTTATTTTACCAATAATGTCATGTGTTTTAAATATGTTTAAAAAGAATGTACTTTTCTTGTTAACATCACATTATTGTTTGTGTTTAAATTTTATCATCTATGTTTTACATTTTGTATGAGCATTTCGTTAATTTCCTTTGATCTAATACAATTAAACTTCATTAAAGAGTTTAAATTGTTTATATTTGAATAAATAAATGTTGATTACTCATCACAAATTTATATTGATTACCTAAATTCAATCGTATGTTTTGTTTGTTTGTTTGTTTGTTTGTTTTTTTAATGAATCCGTCCACTCTAAATTATATCTCACATTGGTCAAGAAAACAAATTAAGATTAGTTTTACTTACAATAATTGTTATGGAATTATTAAACATCAATTAGTCTTCTATTATCTAACTATAATTGCCTGTGTCTTGACATAATTTCGCTTCAACGTTAGGATGAGGCGATCACCATTTAAGACTTGTTTTCAATTTTTTTTTATTTAGATTAAAATTATAGCGATTCACTAAACCCACTCCAACTCTTTGATTTAAGAAATTGTCGTTTACGTTCTATTTATCATTTAAAATAAAATTGGTGATAAAAATTCTGAAAAGTTTTCTCTGCTTGAATCCAAATCCCTCCTATAAATAAATAGGCTTATCTCCCGTGTTATACACTGCATTTTATAGTGAGAACTTAATCTCTTACACTAATTTGATTGCTCGTTCAAGCAGTGCATAACAAAGGACGATACTATAGATAAACAAAGAGAAATACAATAGCAGATATACGACTCTCAAAACAGTACAAATTACAATTAATAAGATTTATTTAAGTATTAATATAATTAAAAAATGTATTAATATAATTAAAAAATAACGAAAGAAATATTGTTAAAAATCATCAACTTAGAGAGTATGATATGTATTGTACTGGTAAACAGTTAGAACAATGTGACAATTAATAATGTACAATAATGAATGCGAATAAACACATATGACTGCACACAGAATAATACGTTTGTCTCGTTAAGAAAAAAAAAATATCTTTGATCTAAACTCCTCAATGTTCTCTGAACCCCTTAAATATGCAGCATAAGGCGCACACCAGTAACAACTTAGTCATTTTTTTACCTTTCTTGTCAACACTGAACTTTCCACAAATTCCATTAAAACAGTTAATTATATCTAGTTTGTAGTGGTAGTAAAAACGGCCAATTTCAAAGGAGATTGAAAGATAAATAGATAGATAGATAGATAGATAGATAGATAGATAGATAGATAGATAGATAGATAGATAGATAGATAGATAGATAGATAGATTGATAGATAGATAGATAGATAGATAGATAGATAGATAGATAGATAGATAGATAGATAGATAGATAGATAGATAGATAGATAGATAGATAGATAGATAGATAGATAGATAGATAGATAGATAGATAGATAGATAGATAGAATTACAATAAGAAAACGAGGTTTATATAAATCAGTGCAGCGCAAATCCATAGCTAAATTGCATTCACCAATCCACTTATACCTCTTACCAATAAGAACGAACCATATAAAGTGCAAAATATGTCAATTTGCGTTTGGGAGGTATTACAATCTGGTGGATGATTTTCTAAATTTATATAAATCTTGGAAGGGTTGGTCACTTT